TTGAAATAGTCTATATTAAGTTGCATGTATTCTGTAAATGTTTGCCCTGACACATTTTCTTTCCAAAGAAGACTGTTCCTAAACTTAGGACATTTGCTCAAGAACTCCATGCAACATTTATCTTGACGTATTACCTCAATTAGTTTACAAGTAAAAAATGTGTAAACAAGTACGATTGGCAAACGCAGAAAAGAAGAAAAAATATCCCTACGGCTGGTGTTAAAAGAAAGTTAGGCTGTGGTGCTAAGAAAACAACAAAAGCAAAGAAGGAAAAAAATGTATCTAACTTTAAGTTGTAAAAAGTGTAAGTTTTTATCTTACGCTGAAAAAATATAAAAAAAACAGAATTTTATATTATAGAGAATTTCATAAACAAAATTTATTTAAAATCACAAAGAGCTAAAAACAGTAAGTTTTAAAATTTTGATTCAGATTGGCATTTTTCTGCCGATTCCAGATTCATGATTTTTTGATTTGGTATTTGCCGATTTCGGATACGATCCGGATAGTTAAGTCACATAACTACATTTGATATTTGACGTCATGCTAATTAAACAGTGTGTTGGTTAAATCGACAAATCCGCAGAAATGAGTATAATAATATAACATATGCAGAGTGGTGTTTTCCTAAAAATACTTTTTGAGTTTCTCTGCTTTATTATGCGAAAAACATGTTCTTTTGGTTATTTGATCTTTTGGTAGTTTGTTTTTGTTATTTACTTTTTTTCTAATATTTATATCGGTCTGCCGTTACGGTGCCGATATCGATTAATCGGTTTTTAGCAAAACCCGGTCGGTACCAATTTCCGGATCAAGATTTGGTTATGTCCTAATAGTATGTATAACTTTTGTCTCCATATTTAATCAGTTTTTGTATAGCTACCATTTGTTTCTGGCTTATAATACAACGGAATTTGCAACCCAATTTAAACCAACAGAGTTCACCGAATTTAGCAAATGTAATAAATTTATCACTGCTCTGGACTTGATTGTCGAATGTCGAAGGTTTTCTGCAAAAAAGACTTTGAGGATTATAAAAACTGCATTGCGATAAAACTGCATTGCGATATACTCGCGATAATATCAAACTAAAGAATATTTGACTAAGCGATACTTAATCAAATTATTCTATTAATTTCCAAGAATTTAAAATTGATTTAAATTCTATAATGTATATACCCAGTAAGTACAGAACGTTTTTAAAACGTTTAAAAACCTATTAAAACGGGTTTTAACGTTTTTTAAACGTTTTTAAAAAACAATCTGTGCTTACTGGGTATGTCACAGCCTTAACGTGTGAGAAATCTTTATCTTAATTTGGTATTTTTAACTTAATTCTTAATTTTATCAAAATTTTAAGATCAATTGAATCATCTTGCTCTTATGAAATGCTTCATTACATTCTTGATCTCAATCCTTTGATCAATAAGTTTGTTATGCATGTTTCCATATGTATGAACACGTTTTACTACGTGCATTTTTGTCTATTGAAAAGACTTGTTATCTCTATATATATATTTTGAATTTCCACTAAATGGTTTATAATGGCTAATAATTATTTATAATGGCCTTATGTAGGAAATGGTTAGGCTGGAAATGTGTGTTTGTCATCAGTATTTTAATGGTTTGGGAGGATATTACCTGAATCAATTTTTTTCTTTCTTATTACTTCTTTTATAACATCCCATGTTTTTTTCAAATAGCCAATGTTATTTTATAAAAGATTCAAATAATAATTTTTTTTAGACTCTTAAGTTTTTCAAGAAGATTTTTACAACTATTTGGTATATAATGGCTATAATTATTTATAATGGCCTTATGTAGGAAAAAGTAAAACTCTACGCAAAAAAGGTATTAAAAATCTTCACGACGGCTGAGATTTAAGCAAGAGTTTTAAGCACTCTGTTAACGTTACAACTTCTTTTTAATTGTCGTCCCTTGGACATCTACATGTCCTTTTCGTCCCCTCTCGATGCCCCTGGTGTTTTAAGTTTTACTTAACTGTAATAAACGATAATAAGAAAATTTCAAAGAATTCAAAAGAAAAGTTTGAAATGATGATGATGATGAAATGAAATTTTCCCAAAAGAATATGCTTTGCCTCTGCTCAGCGAAACGAAAAATAAAACTAAAGCTCCGCTCCGTCCGAGAAAAATGAATACAAATCATTTAAAATAAATTTTCTTTTTAGTAAAACATTCTTTAGAGTTTTAAGACTTAAAATAGAATATAGATAAAAACATATCCTATATGTTTTAGGTTACACTCTATTATTTATGTGAACAAGCGAATACAAAAAAATTATTCAAAAAATATATAACTATATATAATGAGTTTTGAAATTAAGACTTCCGAATATTATTTGGAAGTCGTAGTTTTAAAAATCATAAAAAATAAAGATAGTTTAAAAAACAAAATTATATTGGAAATATAATTTTAATATTTTAACAATCTTTATTTTTAAGAGTTTATTTCCATTTTTAATTATTATGCAACAATCTATCAGTTTTTGTTTTTTTTAATTCCTTTTACTAAAAAAACTACACTTCCAAAAAATTACTAAATAACTTTTATTTTTTTACAACTTTTATTTTGGATGCTGCTTTTTCCATCTAATTCAAAAAAAGTTAATTTTGTTTAATCAAGAGTTATAACCAAAAGTTGGCACAGATATGACTTCTTCAGGTCTAGCCAGTTGTTTGTTTATGCAAAATTCCAGAAAATTTCCTAATTAAACATCTACTACATTTGGAGGCTTGTTAATATTTTTCTTGTTGAAGAATGATATTTTAATTGATTGTTAGACTGCTTTGATTAAATATAACTTTAATAGTTTTTATCCAGTTATTGCAATTTATCAAGTGACTTTAGCTGAAATGTGGTGTTTGTGAGATATCACTTAAATAAAAATTATTATTTTTATTATTGTACTGTAAATTAAAGTGATAAAAACATGTCAAAGACAAATTTAAAAAAAAAAAGTTTATCTTGTATTTTACGGTAAAATCAATTGCAACAGACCCACCGTTTGCAGTAAAATATTTGTCTTTTTTTAAAAGCTAATTTTTGTGTGACTTTTAAGTTTTGAAGCAGTTGAATTTTCTAGAATTTTTCTTAACATGTTTTATTGTCTTTTGAATTTTGAAAGTAATCTATTCTTAATTTTTTAACTTGAATCTTGTGATTCAAACTTTTTAAATTTGTTTCCTAATTGTTTTTACTTTAACAACTTTTATTTTTTTATTTTTAAAAAGAAAAAAGTTTTTCTGGAATTGGTTTCAATAGAAAATTTTAATTTAAAGGTCAGTTTAGTTTAAGCAGTGAAGCAGATTTTATGCTACAATTGACTGTTTCATAAAATACAAGATAAATTATGCATCTTTTTTAATGACTTGTTTTAGTTCACTTTAATTTAGCTAAAAACAAAATTAACTTATAAATAATTTAATAAGCTTTTAAATGAATATATGCATAAAGTTAACATAGTTGTTTTGCTAGCATTTATATTATCAATTGTGTCAGTTTTTACTTAAAACTCATCAATTTTTACGTAATGAAGATCTCTTTACTTTTTAGTAATCATTTATAATCATGATTAATTATGCATGTGTATATATATATATATATATATATATATATATATATATATATATATATATATGTGTGTGTGTGTATACACACATACACACACACACATGCACATATATATATATATATATATATATATATATATATATATATATATATATATATATATATATATATATATATATATATATATGCACACATATATATATACATATATATATATATATATATATATATATATATATATATATATATATATATATATATATATATATATATATATTAGAGTGCCACTAAAATAACTTTTTTCGAAATTGTCTTCTGCCACCCCCTAAATGTGTTCTATGTAATAAATTAACACTAAATTAAAAAAAAATATTAGGGTTCGCTCAAGACCCTTAAGCATCAAACGGGTCCAGGTAAATATTTAAAAAATTTTTAAGACCCTTAAGCATCAAACAGGTAATTATTTTTATAATTTTTAGAAATTTTTATAAAATTTCACTTCTTTCGAGACCCAACATGATATACTTTTAAAGAACTTTTTTTTCAAAGTATTAGGGACCCATTTGATGTTTAAGGGTCTTGAGTGACCTCTAAAATTTAATTTTATACAATTTTTTTTTTAATTTAGTGTTAATTTATTACATAAAACACATTTAGGGGGTGGTAGCAGACAGTTTTAACTTTTTTAATTTTTGTTAAAGTCATTTATTTTAAAATACATGTTTCGACTATATCATAGCCATCATCAGTTAAAATATATTAAAATGCTTAAATCAAATTATTAAAAGTTGAACTAATATAATAAATTATTATAATTAATAAGAACTAATATAATAAATTATTATAATTAATAAGAACTAATATAATAAATTATTATAATTAATAAGACTTTATAATAAAAAAAGTACAATAAAAATGTAATTAAAAAATGTAACAAATGTTTTAAAAAAGATAAAAGAACCAGTAATGTTAAAAGGAGCTAGATTGAAATTGTCATTTTTACATGGTTTGTTTGTTTATTAATACTTACTTACTTTGAGTTTTAATATAAATTTGTTGGAAGCCGAATCCAAGATTGAAAAACTAGCATGATTAAAACTATTAAAACAGACCATTTCTAGACCATTTTTGATAGTACTAACTGATTTAAGCGCTGCCCAAATTCAGAAATTAAAGACTTTAATTTTTTTTAATATTTTTTACGGCAAATAATGCTTGTTTTTTTGTGAAAAAATGCCTAAATCCAACAAATACTGCTTTAATAATCAAAGCTATAATATTTTTTTTAGCTGTTTTCAGCTCATTTTGCTTTTTTCTACACTTATTCATTTATTCACTTAGTCTACACATAAAAATACAATAATGAAAACTCTTTGTTTATCTTGTTATATATCTTACTTTTTACTAGTAATTATTAATAGAAAAAAACATATCAAAGTTATCACATTAATCAAAAACAAAAAATGGTAAGTATTTTATACTAATAACATTACTTTTTTTTTCTTCATATTTTAATGTTATTCTGATTGTTTGTTTTTTTTTTTGAACTTTTGTATTTTATAATTAGTTATTTTATTTGTTTAATCTAATAAACTAAATATTCATATAACATTAGCTTTCTGAAGTTATTTTCATTAGCTTGTGAAGTAATTTGTGAATTTTTATTTATTCCTTTTTTTTTGTTTGATTCTTGTGTTTTCATAGTTGTGTGATTTGGACAGGTTTCCATAATACCATTTTCTTACCTGATTTTAAAACGTATGTTAGATTTAACTGAAAAAGTGTAAAAATAAGAGTTTGATTGAGGAAAAAACATTTTAACATTTTAGAACTAAAACTTTAAGTAACTAGGCAACAGAACAAAATGAAAATTAAATATTGGAAAAGCTGTAGATGTGTTTTGACTGACCTAAAACAATATGTTTATCTTGCTGATTTTAGAGGAGTCAATGTGTTTGGTCTTTGTTGTAGGATTGCCAGAGTTTTTATTATCTGAATTTTGAACCATTATGGGCTTGATCAAAGTCGAGTTACTCAAAGTAAGATCTGCTTTAAATTGTGTAAATAGTGGTAACAGTTATGCGTTATTTTGACCAGATGTAATTACACATCTGATTTTTTTTGTATGTGACTACATCTGCCAAAAAAAAGTTATTATAATGCATTATTTTAAGTATAATAATTTTTTTTTTATTATTTGATTAACTGCCTGCCCAAACAAAAACCTCAGTCGATGTAGCAGCACTCCGTTGCGAGTTAGGCTATTTGTCAGTCGATGTAGCAGCACTTATATAATATAATAATTATATATCTAACTTATATATGTAACTGCATCCGGAATTTTTTTTTAATAATGCATTGTTTTAACCAAATGTAGTTACACATGGAAATTTATTTAAATTAATAATGCATTATTTTAGGCGGATGTAGTTACACATCGAAAAAAACTCCAGGTTACATCTTTCTAAAGATATTATTAGACATCAATAAAATTTCGAAGAAAAAAAGCGGATGATCTTAGACAAAGTGTGCAAGTCTCACTACTTCACGGATGTTGTTGGACAGATGTAGTAATCTTTTCCTGATGAGACATACTGAAAGCAAGTCAATTAAAAAAACTATACTAATCTCTAAAAATGATATATTCTTATTATTCTTATAATTATAAGATATATATATTATAAAATTATATAGCCCTTGGAATTGAGAAAAACGAGGTTGGCTATTTTTTGCTGACCTTAAACTATTAATGGTAGACACCAGGTAGCAAAAAGAATTTGATGCCAAGGTTTTACCATAAAACATAAAAACGAGGTCAATAATTTCCGAGGGCTGTACTACTAAATAATTTTTAGAGATAAGATTTATATATTTTCATCTACAAGTTAAAATAATTTAGGTTCTGTCAGCAAATCATGAAACAAAGTTTTATATATTACATGAATTTATTTGCTTTCAAAATTTGCAAATAAAACATGAATCATAAGATTCTATTTTAGTACAACATTAAAAATGAATTACTCAAGAAACAATAAATTCAGCTTTTTATTTTTCCATTATTTCATTTTCAAATCTATTTAGCACACTTGTTTTTAAAACTATTTGGTTAGCATTTAACAACAAAGTGCAAGATGTTATTTTGTTCCTAAATATTTTGTAGCAACATTGTAGAAAGATTATAGCTAACTTATATGTGGTTGGGACAAAGTTCCTTAACAAAGAGAAATTTTTAGTCTGAGTTTTGTCAGTGTGTTTATTCTATTTATTTAGTTTAATTTCGGAATGTTTGCTAGCAATTTACCTCTATCATTTAACACACAATATAGATGCTACTCAGTTGCTATGTTAAGTGGCAATGAAAGAAAAGATGTTGAACGAGGAGCTAAAAGTAAGTTTAACACTGATTTTAGTAATAGAAATAAAACCTTACTTGTATCTATTTATTGATATTTAGTTTATGTTTGTGTGTTGTTTATATATATATATATATATATATATATATATATATATATATATATATATATATATATATTTAAACATGAATAATTTTTATAAAAAATTATTTTAATAATTTTAATCATTTTGTTGATTATAACTGTATATTAAATGCTATATTGGATTTTAATAATTAAATTTGATTTTTTTTTTTTTTAGTTATCTTGCCACCTTCTGCTCTAGACATTTTAAGTAAGTTTTACAACCTCCTTGTTTGTACTATTTGTTGTTGTTTTTTTTATCAGTTAAAGTCTATAAGTTTTTATATAATAATTTTTGTTATAAAAAGTAAATTAGAAAGTTCAGAGATAACAGAGAAAACAGAGATAAGTTGTTTTGATTAGTTTTGCTTTTTCTAGTGTTAACCTGTTTTAATCCGGTGTGAATGGAATAAATGATTTTTTAAAGACAAATTAAATTTGGTATGTTTGCAGAAGTGTTGTAATAGTTCTCCATTTAATGTTCATTATCCTCAGATAAATAAGTTTTGTATTTTATGTTAGAAGCTTGGGTCTGGTGAATTTTTAAAAAAATTTCAATACAAATCATTAACAAAGTCTAACATTCTATCTCTCAGACATGGTCTGACCTTATTACCCCGCTAAAAAAAAGGCAGGTTTTTTTGCAAATAAATTTTCTCTAATTCATCACTTAAATTTGATTACAAGATTTTTCTTGACTTCCCAAAAAATATTTTTATTATAAAAAGGATATTTTTGTTGTTAAACTAAACACTCTGGTTTACACAAATTTTTTCTTGCTTTCCTTTAACTTGTGGTCTTGATTCCTGATACAATATACAAAAAGACATTTTTCAAAACTTCTTTCAACATACTATTATTTAAAAATATTCTTTTATTTAAAAAAATCTTAATATTCTTTTATTTAAAAAAATTTTAATATTCTATTATTTAAAAAAATCTATTATATATAATCTATATAACAATATTCTATTATTTGCCTTGCAGAGTGTGCTCTTCTTAGGCAAAGGCTAGGAGAAATAAACTCCGACTAAAAATTCCCCTGCCTTGGGGCTCTTGGTTGAGTAAAGGCTAGAGATGGTGTCTCGATAAAAACACTCATCTTGGACAGATGTTAACTGCATCTAACTGAACATCCCCTGCCTTAGGGCTCTTGGTTGAGTAAAGGCTAGAGATGGTGTCTCGATAAAAATATTCATCTTGGGTAGATGTTAACTGCATCCAGCTACTGTCTTGTAGAAGGCCTCCTAGGCAAAGACTTTAGGGGTAAGCAGAAAAATTCTGCTAACCAGCCTCGAACCCCTTCTTCATCTATTAGGCTAGCGTAGATGTAACCTGTGTTACATTGTAACAAATAGTTACAATGTAACACATATTACGGTAGTTGTTTGTAATGTAACCTGTGTTACATTACAAACAACTACCGTAATATGGTCAACATTCCTATATTAATGAATGGCAATCCTCTTACTGAGTCCTCTTCTTTACGTCTTCTTGGATTATCGCTTACTACTGACCTTTCATGGAAACCATATATACAATCGATTACTAAATTAGCTTCTGCTAAAGTTGCTTCTCTTTATCGTGCTCGCCATTTCCTTACTTCTGATTCCATTCTCTACCTCTACAAATCTCTTATTCGTCCCTGTATGGAATACTGTTGTCATATTTGGGCTGGTTCTTCTAACGATTCACTTTCTCTTCTTGACAAGGTTCAAAAACGCATTGTAAATATTGTTGGACCTGGACTATCTGCTAACCTTGAACCTCTTTCCCATCATCATAAAGTTGCATCTCTTTCTCTTTTCTACAAATACTATCATGGTCACTGCTCAAAGGAGTTATCATCTCTAGTTCCGTCAACTAAAATTCATTCTCGTTTTACTCGTCATTCAGCTAAGTCTCATTCGTTTACTGTATCTGTCCCTGCATGCTCTAAAAACTTTTATTCATCTAGTTTTTTTCCCTGCACTTCAATCCTTTGGAACTCTCTCCCATCTTCATATTTTCCTGACTCATACAACCTTCAACTTTTCAAGTCTTCTGTCAACCGTTTCCTTGGTCTATAACTCTGTTTTTTTTTCCTCCTAGTAACTCCCAACTTAATAGTGGTTGCTTGCAGCCTTGTTGGGAGTGAATGCAAATTAAAAAAAAAAAAATTTTAAATCTTCACTTAATCTTGTTTTTTTTTCTGCTAGAAAATGGCGTTTGTGGTTGCAATTTTTAAAAATTATAGAGATTGCTTTGACCTCAAAAAAAAAAAATTATTTTTCAATCAGTTTTTTTACTATTATTAGTAGCATCTGTAGACATTTTATTAATAAACTTGAGACATATCTCATCTTGCGTTCAACAATTTATTTTCTGACAATCTGAATTTTGATCTTCTTGTTCTATTGTTGATTTGTTCGCTGTAATAGAAGTTCAATCATTTGTTAGATGTAATAGAAGTTCAATCATTTGTTAGATGTAATAGAAGTTCAATCATTTGTTAGCTGTAATAGAAGTTCAATCATTTGTTAGCTGTAATAGAAGTTCAATCATTTGTTAGATGTAATAGAAGTTCAATCATTTGTTAGCTGTAATAGAAGTTCAATCATTTGTTAGATGTCATAGAAGTTATGTTCAATCATTTGTTAGCTGTAATAGAAGTTATACTCAATCATTTGTTATATGTATGTAGTTAGACAAGGGCTATTATTTTTTTTAAATATCAAAAGCAAAAATATCAAAAGTCTGACATGCTAGTCTTTTTCATAACTTTGCTCCATACAAGAAATTACACCATCTTTTGAAAGTTATTGACTTGGTGGACAACGCTCTTCCTTAATTTCAGTAACTTTAAAGGTACCACAAGGTTTCATTCTTGGTACCGCAGAAGATATTTTGTCAAGACTTATCCATTCTTGACAAAATCTCATCACTTTATTGCTTAGTAGAGACAGTAGGTGAATGTGATCTGCCTTCACTGAATGTGATCTGTCTTCTCTGACATGATTTTGCAGCGCTATGAAATATTACCAGATAAAATTAAAACTGATTGGTAAAATTAAAACCTAAATAAAATCTAGTTGTTTACTGCTAATTATTATTGTAGTATTAACTTAATAGCTACAAAGTACTTTGGATCTTTTCAGATTATATTTCACTACTGACCTCAGCAGACAGTAACCAGAAAATTAGATTCTGGTAAAGCTCTTTTTTTTATTGTATTTTCCATTTTATTACTCCTAATACCATTCTCTACTTCTATAGATCTCTTATTTGTCTTTGTATGAAATAATGGAATGCTGTTGTCATATTTGGGTTGGCTCTTCTAATAATACCCTTCTTTAAGGCAACAGGCAATGTTCAAAAACCCATTGTAGTTGGACCTGCTCTAATTTCCAATCATGAACCTCTATTTGCTTGTTGTAAGATTGTTTTTTTTTTTTTTTTTTTTTTCTGTTTTTTTTTTTTTCTGTTTTTTTTTTTTTACTATTACAATTTTTTACCATAATTGCTGCTTTCAACATTGCTGCTTCAAAATTCTTTCCTATTTCTCTGACTCAAACAATTTATAGTTTTTGATCAACCATTTTCTTGCTTTTTACTCTCTTTGCCTTCTAGTAATTACCAAATTAAATAGTAGTTGCTTGTAGCTTTCTCAGAAGTAAACTTCTTAAACAATAAAATAATCATTTGATATAAAGCATAATAGTTATAAATTTCATCTCAATGCTTAAAATTCCTCAAAATGAGTAGCTTTCTTAACTACAAAAGATAGGAACCATTACAGTTAGGAAAATTATTTTTTTTTTCCTTTTTTTTTTTAAATATACTTTTTTTTTAATTTGCAACTTTCTTTCTCAACCCTAAACTTGAAACACAAACAAGCCCAGTACAGTAGTAGTAGTGTTGCTCCTAGTTGGAGTCATTACAGTTGAGAAAACTACTTTTTTTTTTAATACACTTTTATTATATTTGCAACTGTATTTTATGTTAACTACATCCAGCTACTGTCTTGTAGAAGGCCTCCTAGGCTAAGTCTTTAAGAATAAGCAGAATAATTTTGTTAACCAGCCTTGAACCCCTACCTGATCTATTAGCATAGATGTAAACCTGTGTTTTCTATTTAGAATGACAAATGCTGGATCTTCTTGACTCTATTCATAGGTTTTTGCTTGTGTCTCGTTAAAAGTGGCTATGCAACTCTTCTCGTTATATCCTAATGAGGCTACAGCTCTTAATTGTTCTGAGGCTGGCTGGTAGTAAGGTTTTCAAAAACTCTTTGGTAGCTCTTAAAGATGTTGATTCCATCAACAGCTGCAAAATATCAGAGTATTAACAGTACCAGGTTGTGAATGGGTAGTATCCCTGTTAATGCATTTGGTGCCTATTGTTGAGGTCACATAGAGAGCCCTAAGTTACAACTTTAAGTTAATTAATGGGACTGAGACAACTGCATATCTCATTTTGTAGGCCGAGCTCTATCTATAAATAAGTCAAGTTCTCTTTAAACTTAAATCATGTTAAAAGTAACCCAAAATATTAATCTCCTAACTGTTTTAATATATCTTTTGCAAATATTCTTAGTTTGCGAAGCAACCTTCCAGAATTCACCAGACTTTGTTGATCTTAGTGAGACTAATTTAAATTCCACTGCTCCTTCTTCAGATCTCAGTTTTGATAGGTACTGTTTTTCGATTCGCAAAGACTCCAGTAATTACATGCTTAGTTTGTGGGTATACATACGCATCAGTTCACCTATTTATTGTAAAAGCAGGTATAAATCCTTTGATCATTCTTTTATGTGCTTAGCATTTTTTTACTCAACTACCTTTCTCTTTGTATTTTATTGTTCTTCTTCTTCCCATGACTGTACTCTTTTAGATGTAATTTTTAATGAAATTAACCATATGATATATTGAAATTAATCATAATATGGTATAATGAAATTAATGGAATGGTATAGTAATTTTATTAGAAACTACATATGGTAATTTCTAATGAAATTACCATATATAATTTCTAATTAAATTAACCTCACCCTTTTTCTTTACTCCTCTGCCAATATTGTTGTTATTGGTGACTTTAATGCTCATCACACCAAATGGCTTTGCTCTAAGGCCAATTCTGGCACTAAAACCTATAATTTCTACATTTCTTAATCTCTTCTGTTAAACTCAGTTAAATTTGTGACTTGATTTCCTGATAACTCTAATCACTACCTTCACTCCTTGATTTATGTCTTTTCTCTCTCTTCTTTTGGAAAATCTTCAATAGCAGTATTAACAAGGTTAGGTCTAACATTTTATCTCTTATTCCTGGGATTAATCTTATTACCTCTCCCAAGGATATAGCAAAAATATTTGCATAGAACTTTTCTTTTTATTTGGCTATTGAATTGTATTGCCATTTTCTTCCTTCTACTTTAATTAAAAAGGTTAACCCATTGCTGGACATATAAATTGCTCCGGCTTCTGTTGTTAAAGCCATATCTCAATTAAACTCTTGTTCTACAGTTTGTGGTCCAGACAACATTCCTGTCATAGTCTTACAAATTTCTTATCCAGAACACCCTTTTTTTTAACGTCATGGTAGAATTTTAACAAATGAAAAGTGTAATTTAACAAAGTTTCATTTTTTCTACTTTAATTCAAAAAGTACGATGTAGTATTTTTTTAACATACAGCAAAACAACTTTTAAAGCAAATTTTTTGTAAAAATCAAAAATAATAAAAGATTTTTATTTCATAGGAGCAACTTTTTTTTTACCAATATCTTAATAATTTTTAGATTTATGTATCTTACATTTTATTATTATTTTTTAAAATTAGTTAAAGTGAGATTCTGGTTTTGCATTACAACTTGTATTACAATAATAAATATAATATGTTTTTTAACGCGCGTTATGACATTTGTCATTTACAAGTACAACCAATAACAGCACAAGTCGGCATTATAAATTTTGATTATAAGTTTACTGTTCAATTATTTATAACCATCAAATAAAAAACATGAAGTACGTATATTTTTGCATTTCTAACGCAATAACATTTTACAAAAACACAGACAAACTATTATTAATTAATGCTATAATTAACACATTTGTTAATGGCAATTCCAGGTAGATAGTAGTTTAAATTGTCAAAATGTTGTAACACGTGTTAAAAAACATATTATATTTAATATTTCCCAATTTATGTGTTGTATTTGAGATTTGTCTCTTAACGTGGAAAATTAAAAAACTAACAAAATTGACAAATATAAGTTTTAAAGAAATTTTCTTTCCCAACTGCCATTTATTCAAAGAAAAGTTATAATTAAACTTTTCTTTCTCTTATCTAAATAAAGAACGAGCAGAAAAAAATATTTCATACTATTCTATTCATTTAAAGTTTATTTACGTGAAACTTTTCTTTCTCTTTTGTTCTACTGTTTTTTAAAAAAATGCGAGATGAAAAAAAAACTTTTCTTTCTTAACATAGAATGAAACTTAAAGATAAAATTAAATTAGAAATAAATCAACATTGAGCAAAGCAACTAACAGTCTAATCTGGGACTGTTTTGATATTGATGAAAATAATCAACATAAACAACAACAATAGTTAAATAAACAACACAATATCGCATAATTATACAGGATTTTTATTTATTGCTTAGTAGTTTTAAATAATAAGTAAATTTAGTTCAAGTTAATATTTTATAATTTAAACTTGCAATATAATAAAAAAAAGGTTTTAAATGTTGAACTTTTTATTTAATTTTTTTTTTTTTACCTACATTAGTTATAAAAAGACTTTAGTAACCCCGTCATTAATATCATTTGTTTAAATATATTGCGACAAGATTATTCAAACTAAGTTTTTTGACTTCCCGAACTTCATGCATAGCAAATTCAGACGAAATGTTGTCTAACTAATTAAAAATGATGCTACTAATTTTATACAGCTAATTAATATCAAACAATTTTTTGTCAGAATCTTGATTGAGATAATAAATATTCATCATTTAATAACATTTAATGTAGTGCAATAACAATTTATAGCAACGAACCAGCATAAAATACTTAAGGTTTTTATATCTTTTTAAATGAAAAAAGTAGAAAATAAATAACTAAACAAATAATAATGAAAAAATTTATGAATAAAAAAAATAAAGTTTCATTTGTCCAAAGTCTACTGTGACGACAAATACTAAAACTTTTATGAATTAAACGCGCTTTAAAGGAATCGCCAAAATCTGTTGATTGCGACCTATAATTTAAATACTCTGCGTTATTGAAAAAAATGGAGAAGGCGAAAACAACAATATTAGTTTTTCTTGGTATGCACTCATTATTTATTTTTAATCAACTTGGTTCAAACTTTTTTTTTTAACATTATCTTTAATATGAACACAATATGTGTTCAGAGTTTGGAATCCCTTTAAGAACTGCTTGACTAAGTCTTGTTTTCCTGCCTGCTTTTGACCTTCCAAATATTGTCTAATCAGTCTTCTTTCTGTTATTAGCAAGGTCTTTAAGTCTTTGATCAACAAATTTCTCACATCTTGAGTCGAATAGCTTACTGTCAGACAATCAATATGGTTTTCAATCCTCTTGCTCTATGGCTGGTTTGCTAACTGCTGTGGCTGAAAGGTTTTATTGTGCATTACATGAAGGCTTGGGGTATTGCTCTTGATATATCTAAAACTTTTAATGAAGTTTGGCATAAGCTTGCTTCATATGTTGTATCTGGGAAAGTTTAGTTTAACGGCTTTAGCAAAGTCATCCTTGATGAATGATAAAAGTTCAATCAACCATCAAAAGTTCTTTTGGAAGTTTTGGTTTAATTGAATCAAAGAGTTTGATCCCTACCACGCCCCTAGTAGTACCACGCTTAACTGGTTTCTCTGAGTAGTAGTTTTGATTTTCAAAGTTGGTGTTTCAGAGTTATAAACTTGAGAGAGGGTTGTAACAACAACAAAAGTAGCCTCCTTGATTGTAGTAGCCTTCATGGCCTTGGGGAGGTGAATTAAAATATAATATTTAAAATTCAAAAAAATGGTAAATAATTTACTCATTAACTAAGTAGTTTGGTTAAAAGTTGTATTTTTTATTTATTAATGAAAAAACAGATTTTTGCTAACCTCAAACACTTTTAGGTTAGCAGTTAGGTCAGCATTGTTGAATGCCAATTCTAATTCCGAGAGCTGATATATGAATATATTTATTTATTTTTAGCTCGTCTTAATATTGTATACCCTATGTTATTTAAACTGACCAATCATCGACTAAAGAAATACACTCATTGTGGTGTTTTGGAGTTTGTTGCAGATGAAGGAAAAGCCTATATTCCTCATTGGGTTTGTATTATTTATATAGAAATTTAAATTTTTTAAATTTTTAATAATGATAATAAGTTTGAAAATTTAGTATAATTATGATAATTATTATATTTGATTACAAATATTTATATATGCATTTATATATTCTGTAGAATTTAGTATGTATGTGTAAATTATATATATATATATATATATATATATATATATATATATATATATATATATATATATATATATATATATATATATATATATATATATATATATATATATATATATACATATATATATATATATATACATACATATATATATATATATAAATATATATATATATGTATATATATATATGTATATATATATGTATGTATATATATATATATATATATATATATATATATATATATATATATATATATATATATATATATATATATATATATATATATAATTTACACATACATACTAAATTCTACAGAATATATAAATGCATAAGAGAGAGAGAGAGAGAGTAATAATCAGAAAAATAACTTGTAATACATTTAATATTAATAATATTATTTTGTAAAACAATGAAAGTTAAACATTGTTATGATTATTTTTTACCAATATTGGGTCCTTCACAGAACCCCTTTTTAGCCGTTAAAACTGCTACACAAACTATTGGCATTTTTTGCACCAATTCTATTAATGTAAGTGGTGAAATTTTCACTTTTGTAAGTCCCAGAGTTGTTCTCCATTGGTTAATTGCAGTTGTCTAATATTTCTGCTTAGTTCACCACATAAAAACTCAATCAGATTATAATCCGGTGACTTGCAGGCTTAGTTAATACTTTTACGTAAAAAAATTTTGATAAAATATAATATTTCTAAAGTGGTTGTCTTGCTAAAAAAATAAGTGAAAAATGAAGTGGTTGGCTTTTTTGTCCAGATGGAAAAGCATGTCACTGAAAAAAGCTGTGATAATGAGTCTTATCAAAAATTTCCATAAATCTGGCTAAATCTCTTACCTTGTGATCAGCAAAGCAACCTTAAACTGTAACAGAATGATGTCCATGTTTAACTGTTAGTATAACACACTGGTCAATCATTGGTTTGCCGACTTTCCATCGCACTTATTGATGTCTTTTGCCTACAAAAGTTTCAAATTTCAATTCATCTGTAAATACTAGTTTATACCATTCATCTACTGAGAGATCTTAATAATTTTTAGTCCATTTTAACCTCTCCTATCTATTTTGATGACGTAAAAGAGTTTTCCAGATGAGATGGGTTGATAATAAAACTGATTTGCTGCAAAATAAAATTCAATTTCTCTTGGATATCTGGGGTATTATAAGCTTGTATTGTCGCTTACATTGTACCCGTGTGAGTTTATCTTTCTGGTGTAACTTTTGGTCTTCTAGGTTGAAAATGACTTTGATTCAATCCACTTTATTGTTGCCTTTGAATTGTGTGAACTATTGTTGACTGGGCAACATTAGTTTTAGAAGCAATTTTCAGGTTGATTAACCTTCATTGTGTAAAGTTACTATTACTGCACAAGCTTGATTACCAAACTAAATAAATAATTGCAAAAAAGTTTTGGTAATTATTTTATCATCATAAAATTATATTATAAAAATGATGAATATTTATTATAAACATGATAAAATATCAACTAAATCATAATATTTATACTTAGTATAATGTGTTTAAATAAATTATTTGAGAAACTAATTTTACAAAATAATAAATATAAATTCAATAACTAATATAATATTACTAAATAATAACTTTCTATTTGTAGATACTAATATAACGCTTGCACACAGATTTACCCCATTTTTAAAGTATTGTGATATGTGTTTAATATTTCAAATGTGCTATTTGCAATTTTATTTTGTATTTGTGTCATTAGAAAAAAACAATTATCTAACTTGAGGTTCTACTTTCAGTTTCTCCTTCACCAGGGTCATTAGGAAGAAGATTCTTCCTGTAGATCCTGAAGAGAGTAGAAGCTCAAGTTAGATAATTGTTTTTTTGTTTTACTTTTTTATTACTGCTCTGTTCTTTAAGAAAATTGAGAATTCTTTTTTTTTTTTTTTTTTTTTTTTTTTTTTGATTTTTTCTCAACTGCATGAACAATATGAAATAAGTGAACATTGAAAATAAAATTTTCAAAGTTCACTCATTACAAAAAAGTCCATCAGTGCAATTTGTTAAAAAAGTACATCAGTGCAATTTGAAAAAAGTCCATTAGTGCAATTTGTTAATCATAGTTATGTGTTAGTAAGAATGAGTTTTAAAATAAGCAATTTGATGTATTTTTCTTTGAAAAAAAAAATTCATGCAGGAAAAAGTAACTGCAATTTTCTTAAAGAGGAAATATAATAAATTCCTATACAGAAAAAAATAATAATAACTACAAGCAAATAAAAAATATAATGCAATAAAAAATTCAAATCTTATATTTTAATAAATAGCTAAATTTAGTTTCTAGTTCATGGCTTTAAAACACTTTTAGTGTATCAATTTGCTTGTGAATTATAACTCATCTTAACTTTTTTATAAGTTGTTGAAAAACCATTTTTATTTTTATCTTTTTGTTTATCTTTATTTTGTTTTCTATCTGATTGTTCCAGTATTCTTTTTATACATATGTTTTGAATGAATTGTTGTTTGATGTAACTTAATAGCTTTATAAAGTTTCTACATTGGTATTGAGTTATAAAAAAATTTAAAGAAATTTTATTCTGTTTTTGAATTGCAAAAAAAATAGTTATATAATAATAAGTGTTTAATTCATTAAATTAGTAATAATTGTGATTTATTTTTTGTGGTATTTAAGGTGCTCCAAGTATTCCTTGGAAGGCGAGACTTCTAAGTCTTCCTAGTTTAATGCTCTTCTGTGGTACACTTTGATTGGACCACAGTGCATTGCAGAAAAGCATTAAACTAGGAAGTTTTTGTTATTTTCCCAAACATGATGCTTATTTATTCAAAGCTGAAACTGAAACTTGGACCTCTTGTTTCTGAGCCAAAGTTCTAACCACCGCCTAATTAGTCTAGAACCTTTAAGTTGTCACTTTCATCTTTCATTTAAAAAAGTTTTAACAATATTATATTATAGATCCAGTTAATATTGACAAACAAGCATTAATAAATCTCGTTAGTAAGTTGTATTGGTTCAACGAAAAAACTTTTGAACCACAAATGATCCAGTTTTTTTCCTTTTATTGCTATTCTTTTGATGTTTTGCGAGATGTAACTCAACAGCTTCCCTATCAAGGAAGTTGAGATCATTAATTAAGGAAGATTTCTTTTGGAACCATACATGGAACATTTATCACATAATAATAATAAGTAATAATAGTTAAATAATAGGTTTTCAAGTTTTCTCAGAAGACGCATGCACACGCTTTATATGACCATGCATATTCTGTTTTGACACCTTTGCCACTGCTCTATGTTTTAAGGTTTGCATGTTTTTAGCTTATATTTGCTTATTCAAGCTTATATTTGTTTATTCAAGCTTATATTTGTTTATTCAAGCTTATATTTGTTTATTCAAGCTTATATTTGTTTATTCAAGCTTATATTTGTATCATTGAATTAAATTAAAATTTTAAGTTTTTTTAATTAGTCATAATTAGTTACTTATTTAAAAAAAAAAATACTTGCAACAAATTTGGGCATTTTTATGAGGAGCAGTCAAATTAAAAAAGAATTGCACAAGAAAAACTTCAAATAAGTAGTAGCAGTAGAATATGATAAAATACATTAAATCAAACAGTTTCTTGGGACTATTATAGTAAGAGCAGGAGTCTTAAAGAAAGAAGTATCTTTGAGTAGATTAACTATTGACTGCAATCAAAATAGTCAAACATCAACATGATATTGATGCTCATTATGATCATCATCATGATGATGCTCATCTTCATCATGACAATGATGAGCATCATTGTCATATTGATTCTGATTAAGGTCATCATCATCTTATAAGATTTATACCGTATCATAACAATTAGTATTTATGAAAAAAATAATTTTTTGTTTCGTTTTAATTATTTTCTTATTTCATAATTTTTTACAGATTAAATATTCTTGAAAAAAAGTATGAATAGTCAAAGTAAGAATAATACAAGAAAAGATTCCTCCCCCTCAATGCCAAAACCTCAGTCAATGCAGCGGCGTTCCATAGTGGCAGCAGGTTGTAAGATAGTCTATGTATCTACTAAAGCCCCCAGTGTGTGTCTGTATGTCTGTATATTATGTATGTTTGTTATAATTTTTATTTACATATATTTTTAATATATTTTATTGTTTTTATAATTTGCTTTGTAATTTGATAGATGATGCAGAGTCTTCTATTAAGTGAGGGGGATTTGATCAACATTCAGAGTGCTACGCTACCTGTTGCTACATTTGCAAAATTTCAACCTCAAACAGTTGATTTTCTTGATATAACTGATCCTAAGGCTGTGTAAGCTGTTTATAGCAGTTTTTTGTTTTAATTTTATGCATTATATATATTTTTTAATTTAATTAACTTTTTTAATCAAATTTCTTTCTTAATTATAAGGAAATTTCTGTTATCACTTTTTTGATATTGCACAATCTGTTAATTATTTAAAGCTTTTGTAACTGTTATAAAATATTATTTTTCAAAATTTTTTTTTCAAAAATAAAACTTATATATTGCAAAAGCTATATTGCTTCAAGCGTAAACTTAAGCAAAAAATTAATAATAGAGTTATATCCATAAAAGAAGTTTTTTAATTATAAAAAAATAAACTCTTTATAAGATGTTATATAAAGTTTGTAACAATTAATGTTTTTTCATTTTTTTTTTTTTTTGATAAAATCAATCATTATAACAAAACAAACAAACAAAGTTCAAAATAACTAAAGTGGCGCTAATATAAAATAAAATTTAACGTGTACTATTTTTTAGCTAATAATTTTTTGTTTTGTTTTATATATTTTTTTTTAATTCAGTAATTATTTTTGTGCTTGTTTGGTATGAGAATGCATCTAAATGATATGAGAATCTAAATAAATATTCTTGCTCTTGCAAGATGATAAAAAAAAGTTTTTAAATGGTTCATTTTTTTCTTTTGCTTTACAATTTTGGTGGAAAAATTAGAATTATAAAAATAAAATTTTCCTTGTTTTTTTTTTAAGTTACATTTGTAAATGCACAAATATCAAATGTAATTTTTATGCATACGTTTTACATAAACGTCATTCAAACTTTAAAAGTGGTTTTTATAACATTAATTACTTATTTTATTACATCTTAAAGGATCTTATTAGACTTGTTTAACTATTAAAAAATGGTAAAAATTGGCCTTCCTGCATATCATAAATGGCTTAACGCAGACCTAAATGAATAAGCAAAGCAATCTTTTAAAACGTTTAATTAAAGTTATGCAAAACGCTTTTACAAATTACTTCTATTAATTGTTTAATAAATGAACAAATTTTATTTAAATTGTTGAAAAGTGAAATTAAATTATTGAAAAGAAAAAAATATAGTATTTTTTATGTTGTATAAATATTTATTTCAAAATGTTGCAAAAAAAAGTTCTTTAAAAAAATAACATAGTCTTTTTAAAATTGTAAATTTTAATCATTTCATAATTTAATTAGTCTAAAAAAAAAACTTTTAAACAATTCTTTGTAAAAATAGAAACAAAAAATAAATAAAGCAATTAAATCATGGGAAGATTTAATTTAACTTATTCATAATTTAAAGTAACTTAAAAAATTATCTTTTAAAAGATTTTTAGAAAGGCATGGAAAAATAGTTTCAAACATTTAAATTTATCAAAAAAAGTACATACCTACGAAAAAAAATTAAATATAATATTTAATTTACACATAATGTGTTTATTTTAAATGATTATTATAATTAATTTTTGATAAAGTTTTACACAAAAGCCTTTGTATAAAATGAAAACTTTAAAAAAGATCAGTGATTAAAAATTAATCATACCGTAACCATTTTTTAAATTGCATTTAAATTGTTAAAACATCAAAACAGCTTTCAAATTTCAAACTGTAAAGAAAAAGTAATAAGTGTTGTCAGTTTCAGCGTGAAAATTTAAAATTTAGCTAAAAAAACACAAAATTAAATTGAAACACACACACACACACACACCTATGGTAAAGGGCTTAGATTCTCAGTTTGTGGTAAAAAACGGCTCTTAGCTTGTTTGTGGTATTAAAGTTGACAAGATTAAGGATACTTTATGTCAAAACGCATTAATTTAATTGCAGGAAGTAATTAATCCACAAAACCACAAAATAAAAGACTAGAATGTTTTTGAAAACATTCTGAATGTTTTTTTGTTTTTTTGTTTTTTTTAATAAAAATATTCTGAATGTTTTTATTTTTTGACTGTAAAACATGCGCAGAGTGTTGCTACATCCACTATCTTATAGCCTGACTTGCAACGGAGTGCTGCTACATCGACAATTAAAAAAATAAAAATAATTTTTTTTCGGTCTTTAAAATAAAAAAAAACTTAAAGTTGAAATTTTATGATAAAAACTTAAAGACAACCAAGCAATATATGTATGTATATATGTATATATATATATATATATATATATATATATATATATATATATATATATATATATATATATATATATATATATATATATATGATGCGGTTGTGGTGTAGTGGTAGAGCGCTCGCTTCATAAACGAGTGGTTCCGAGTTCAATCCCCACCACGTCCCTGGTAGTACCGCGCTCAACTCGTTTCTCCGCGCAGCGGCCTTGTTCGTCAAGGTTTGTGTTTCGGAGTTATAGAGTTGAGAGAGGGTTAAAGCCACAAATAAGTAGCCTCCTTGTCTGTAGTGGTCTTCTCGGCCTTGAGGAGGTGAATTAAAATAAAAAATAAAAAAAAAAATATATATATATATATATATATATATATATATATATATATATATATATATTAGGGTGGTGCAAAAAAATTTTTTTTTCAAATTTCTTTGATGGTATCATTTCTTTATGTGACATTATGTGTAGGAATAACAATCGTGAGGTTTGGGCATGATTGAATAATTTTTAAAGGTTGCTCATCAACATAAAGTTTTTTACTTTTTGGGTTTGAGTTCTCTTTTAGTGTGCAATCCCAAATTTTGAATAAATTATGATACAACATTGCATTTTAACTCTTACTGTATATTAATCCAAAACCATGCAGTATTTTTTAAACTGAATTATATATATTATTGTTTACAAATAAAATAATTAAAGAATAAAGTAATAAACTTCTGGTTTACAATAACGTATTTGTGTTCACTATAGTAAAGACAAATTTAAAAAGCAATAATAGTTCCAAAAAATCTTAAAAATTGTTAGAGTTTTAGGTTTCATTTATATTTCAGCTTCTTCTCAAAAAATTATTGTAATCTATGAAAAAAAATTCATTGGTTTTTGTTTCCATCGTTTTTTGATGACTTGGTTCCATCGATCAACAAAGATTTTTGTGGCAGAGGAAACTTTGACCTGTGTTCAGAGACTACCTGCAACAAGAATTGCTTTTGTTCTTCATTTTTGGTAATTGAACAATTAAAATCCTGAATTAGTTTTACTCCTCTTTTAGCCGTATCATTAATAACTCGTAGACTTTTTACAATTTTTTCTGCCTGTTGAAACTCTTCATTTTCGGTCCACTTGTCAGGATCAACAGTTATCAAAAATGTAGTTGGTAATTCCAAAATGTTGAAAAAATTTAAGGTATTCTCTGTTACAAAACTTTCTATTTGCAGATTTTTAATTGAAGTTAAATCGATTTTTATTCTTTTCTGTGGTTCATCCTCTCCAGCATTTTGTAGAGCCAAAACCATTTTTGCTTTTGTTTCCTTGCTGATCTCCTTATCAAAAAAAGCCAATGCTACCATTTCTTCACTTAGATACCATAAATGCCTCGAAAATGCTGTTGCTGCAGCTGTAAAAATTCCATTGTTAATGGCTTTATGTTGAAAAACAGTCTTCAAGAAAGTGAGATCATTCGACGGAGCAAGTGTTGGATTGGTACATGATATCCAAAATTTGGTGTACACCAAACTAGCAAACAAGCTAATACCTCGAAGTGATTTTTCTTCTTTTGCCGTTAATTTGAACTGCCTTTTAAACATCCATATTTTCATTGAATATAAAGTTTTGGCCATCCACCTTCCTCTGTGTATGGCTCCGGCAGCCATTACATGAGCCCCACGAGGAGGAACATCACCAAGAAACAACAAGGTTAGTTCCAACAATTCCTTGTAGTCATCTCGATATTGTTTGCCAGATTCAAGAATTGTTTTCAAATAAAATAGTGCATCCTGTTTGAGTATGGTGTGAGAAGCCAAAATGTCCGAACATGTTTGATCATTTAACGCTGTTTCATAATTATTTTTGTCAATTAATGACCACTTGTCACGAAAACGTTTAAATAATCCTATTTCAGGACCACTGGATTGCCCAAGAGAATGCTTAAAAACATCACTCAAGACGATTTCATACATATGATGATGGCATGCCAAGTGTAATAGTTCTCTATTAAGCTTTTTTTCAATTAAAGTACACGCTCCAGCTTCGGTACCAGTGTTGGCAGCCGTTGTATCAAAACTAATTGCTTTAACTCGGTCTTGAATGTCCCAATCTAGTAAAGTTGTTATAACAGCTTCACTTATTGCTTTACCAGTACCCCTTGTTAACTTTGGAATGCCAAGATGCTGGTCAACGTTGTAACCTGTAACAACAACTGCTAATCGATCAACTGAATCTCTTCCAGTAATATTTGGCAATATTTTGCCATCAAAATGAACAGTCAATGGAACATTTGACGAGTTGAATGCAAACTTTATGGTTGTAGCAATTTTGTTTCGATTAGTAATTCTAGCTCTCCGGATCGTATCGCGACTAATAGCAAAATCTGTAATGTCATGACCTAAACCTTTTGCTGCAGCTGCCAGTAAATAAGTCGCTTGGCGATCCGTGACGTTGGTTCGGTCAAGAGCAGATGCTAACTCAGGTGAAATGATATTTTGAGATCGCGATCGCTTTTTTACAACATTTTGATTAGATTTTTTTGGTTTCATAAATTCTTCATCTGAGGTTTCAGTGCCAGATGTAGACTTGTCAGATAGGTGCATTGAATCAATGTGACTTGTATTTTCAGCTTCTTTTTTTCGCTTTTTTTCCTGAAAACGTCTGGACTCTTCTAATTCTTTTCTTTTCTGGACACGCTCTTCTGTTTTTGCCAATGCTATGTCAACTCCGGCCATGTATCCCTTACGTTCACCTTTCTGATCTATTAGAAATAGTCTGTCTTCTTCAATTGTAATCAAACTCATGGCATCAGCATGTGCTATATCAAAAATGCGATCAATTTCTTCACAAAAAACATTTTCATTTGCTGTATGTGTTGCCAAAGCTCGTTTCATGTTTTTCTTTATTTTAGCCCATTTGTAAAAA